CATTGATGCCTTAAACTTGAAGGATCTATTAACATCTTCAAATGAAACGAGGAATTTGAGTTCAGTTTTTCAAATTTTCTTGTCAATTATTTTACTGTGGTTGTGTTTAAAAAGATTACCCATGAGACAACTTTCTTCCAGGAAGTTTGTTTTATGCTGCCACCTCTCCTGGCTTTGCTGTTAGATTGTGCCAAGAAGCCTGATCAAACTGTGGTCTCAATATCTCTTGGTGCCTTGGTTCATCTAATTGAAGTTGGGGGACATCAGTTCAGCGAAGCTGACTGGAATACACTGCTGAAAAGCATAAGGTACTTTTTGTTTTGTTTTCTGAAGATGTTCTGTGATGAAAAACCCTTATTAATAGGGTCTGTCTATTTAACTTTGATCTTCAGCGATGCTGCATATACAACACAACCGCTTGAGCTGCTTAATAACTTCAGCATTGAAAATCTGAGAAATTATGGAGGCATAGATAGAAATTCAGATACCAATGCAGGTGATAGTCTTACTGTAAAGTCTATTGACATTGAGGCGGTGGGTGTCCGTCAGCTTAATGTCAATGATAATGGAAAACTATCCCCTCGAGCTTACTCAAGTACAAATGTTGATGGAGTTGAAGGTTCAGTGTTGCAAACAAATTCAGACAGATCTGAAGGTCAGGTTCTTCAAAATATACAGTAAACTTCATATTTATGCATGCTTTGCTTTTTGGGGATTATCAGAATGACATTAAATGGACATGGTATGCATTTTTAACATGATGGATTGCTATTTTCCCTTTTGAAAATGGTCTTTGACTGCTGTGGGTTTTGACAACAATGGTCTTTGACTTATATAAATTTTGGCCAGTGGTCCTTGATTGCTATTTTCCCTTTTGAAAATGGAAAGCCATGATGGATGTGAAATCACTAATTTCAACTTTCTTTCTACATTGAACTGACTTTAGAGCTGACTTTATTACTGTAGGCCTACCATCACCATCTGGAAGATCTCCCAGACTGGCAGATGCTGGAGGCCTCAAGCGGAATCAAACATTGGGTCAACGTATTATGGGAAATATGATGGACAATCTCTTCCTCAGAAATCTTACTTCCAAATCTCAAAGCAGAACTTCAGATGCTTCTCAGCCTCCTTCTCCAGCTGTGGTATTATGCTAGATATGATTATCTCTGCTCTTCTCATCTGTTTTAGAATTATTGTATATGGTTTAATTATTTTGATTTTTGATACCATTTTAGGTTACTGACGCTGTAGAACCTGATACCAAGGATGAAGAGAGTCCTTTGCTAGTTACTGTCAGGGGCAAGTGCATTACTCAATTACTGCTTCTTGGTGCAGTCGATGGTATTCAGGTTTGTCTACAATTGTTTTTCCTGGGGTAAATCTCACATTTTTGGGTTCCCTTTAATAGCTATATAACTGATTTATTTAATTAAAATGACTGGTAACATTCATTTTGAAGGTTTCAGTATTTGAAATAGGATATAATTTCTCTATTGGTCTTCCTATTATTTGTTTACTTAGTGAAGGTTGAACTTAAACTTCGAAGTGCATATTTATGTAAGAGTGGTTGTACTTCAAGACCCATCATGGATTTTGTAATTGGATGGTTGGTGTGGGAAGCTTTATTATCTATTATAGGCTGGAGCAGAAGTTTTGAAATTTGGGTTGAGAGTTCTATGAAGTTCTTGTCATTAACCATACAGTGAAGTTCAGTGTCAATGAAGGGGAGAGGGGTGGGTTTGGTACTTCCCTAGTGAACAGTTCTATTTGTTTGCAGAAGAAATACTGGAGCAAGTTAAAAGCACAGCAGAAAATTGCTGTAATGGACATTTTGGTGTCTCTGTTGGAGTTTGCTGCTTCATATAACTCATCCACCAACCTTAGAACCCGGATGCACCAGATGCCTGAGGATAGGTAGTCAATAAATTAATCTGTTTTTCTTTGCTGATTGTGTTGAAATTCCTCTATCATTGGAATGGAGCTCTAAATCACCTCAATTATTCTTGAGCAGGCCACCCATCAATCTTCTTCGCCAGGAATTAGCTGGTACTAGCATATATTTGGAAATCTTACAGAAATCAACTTATGGACTTGATACAAAGAAAGAGCAAATTCTGCAATCTGACAGCCTTCAAGAAGCTGATAGTAAAGTGGATGATGGCTCCAATATTGCCCAAATTTCTGAGGCTGAAGAGAAATTTGAAAGAATAGCTGAGGAGAAACTGGTTTCTTTCTGTGAACTGGTACTCAGGGAGGCATCTGATCTCCAATCTACTGCTGGAGAAACCCCTAATATGGATATTCATCGTGTCTTGGAGCTGCGTGCTCCTATCATAGTTAAGGTACAAAATTTACCCTTCATGATTTATATGAAAATTAAAATATATTTTCTTCATTTCTGTTCTCACGCTTGATGTTCTTGCTAAAAGCATCATGTATTATTACAGCCTGTGTAGTGAAATTTTGCCTTGGGTTTTCTCCTAACAAATTCTGCATCTTATTATTTCCCTGGGCCTGGAGGAAAAGTTCTATAGCTGTCTTAATTACTTACTATGTACTTTCCATGCATTCCCTTCAAAACTTTTTTCATCTACTTAAGGAGCTTGTAAACTATTGTAGTAGATAAAATTTGTTCAGCTTGTGTTTCCTTTGACGAGAGAATTGGACTATCTGTTTTATGTTTTCATCTTTAGCTTGCAAATTACTTTCACATGCAGTTGTGACTTTTAAGATTTCAGTCAGCAAGAACGTGGTTTATTAATAGCTGTTGATTTCAATGCATTTCACCTTTTCATTTGGTGGTTCGTATCATGAGATATTTTCATTTACGTATTCATTATTGTTTGCTCTCTCAGGTGCTAAAAACATGTGTTACATGAATAATAAGATTTTCAGAAGACACCTCAGGGATTTCTATCCCTTGCTGACAAAACTTGTATGCTGCGACCAGGTAATTTCTTAATTTTACAGTCATTGAAAGGCGGATTTGCTTGGTAAATTAGGGTGATTCAAACCTGGCATTTGACGAACTGCATGTCCAAAAATAAAATGGAAATAAAAAGCTTTAAGGCCATTATAGAGCGCAATTGCAGGATAACTAAAGTCTGGAATACTAGTAAGATTTAAATATCAAGTCTCAACCAGTCGCTTTTTTCATTGTAACATTATTCACGAACACGATTTAAAAAAACTACTAGGGCTTCTCTTTTCTTGATTTCGACGCTTGCAAGAGTAGCAAGTTGAGGGAAATGCCCCCTGATATGCTGACTTTTATTTGATTCGATCAGATGGACATTCGGGGAGCCCTGGGCGATCTATTTCAAGCACAATTGAAAGCACTCTTACCGTAGCTTCTGCTAAATGTCGCTGATTCTCGGAAGATCCGTTTCGGCACTTTGGTCTCCAATTTTCTTCGAACGGAAAATACTATCTAGGTTTCTTCGACCTGGAAGCGGGAAATACTATATTCTTTTGGATTTAATCTTCTACAGGGAAATTTGTGTTCGCCTAGACATGGCAGATCTATAGAAGACAGGCTATACAAATGTGATAATCAGTTTCTTCATCTATCTCCCTATAGCAGTTTGCGCGTCCAGTTGTTTGCACGTTAGCACAAGCTCTGATCGATAACCATCTCGAATCAGTTTTTGGTTGTTGTATGATAATAGTTGTATACGCTGGTAAGCCCTTTTATTCATGAGGTGTCAAATATTTAATTTTTTTTCTTCAATCATTCAAGAAGACCAAGTAAACACTTCCCTTTTGCCCCAACTATTGCAAATTTGTTTCAACTGTTTTGAATGTGGTGGGATACAGGAATTGGAGGACAAAAGCAAGAGCTTACGCCTTTTGATTCACAGTATCACGGGATTGAAACTAGATTGTCAATTCAAATTTTGCCCGACGTTATTTTGTATATTTTATATTTTATATAGAAATTTCTTATTAAAAAAAAATGAACAGACTACGTCATTGTGAAAATTTAAGCATACATTAAAGCATGGATTTGAATATGTAACTTCTTTATATATATAATAAGATTATTTAGTTTTGATCAATGTTGTGACTCATGAATAGGAAAATAGTGATTAAAATAGTCGGGCCATATTTAAAATAAAAAGAAATGATTATTTATAATAATAATTTTTTTTAATGAAGTTTGCTTTTTTCCTTCAAAAAAATAAAAATTTTTAAATTCAAAGAAAAGTAATATATAACAATGGAAATGGCAGTATTCAGTAATATCTTGTAGTTTTTATCCAAAAAATATATATAATTGTCTTATAATTTACAATTTTTAATATATATATATATATAATAAATATGTATATACCATGCATGTTTCTTTTTTATTTGTTCTCTTCACCTTTCAATGCTGATTAAGTATAAATATGTGTAACTTTGAAGCATGAATTAAAATTAAAAAAAAATAGAAAATAACTAGTTCAATAAGTTGAACCACTTTTTTTTTTTTTAATAATTTGAGATTAATTTAACTAGTTCGCCAGTTCTTATGACCTCCTATTTTGTCATGCCTACAAACCTTTATATATTTAGATTACTTGTATAGGAGATCAAAGTGATTTTCCTAAATAACTTCTATCATTATATGCTATATAATGCATGAAAATTGAATAATCACAACCACATAAAACATTGTCGAGAACCGTGAGCATTTCTAAACCCTGCAACCAGAGAATAAAAAGGAATCCATGCATGGCAAAATGCTTAATATTTATATTTGCTACTCCTACATAGGCTAGAAATATTTCGTTGAATTTGAAAAAAGTTAAAAAGATTGCAGGCATGAAAATGAAAAATATAATTAACAATGATGGTAAAAACATAATACATATCCTATTTTATTTTTTTATAAAAGAGAGAAGGATTGCGAACTCATTTATCTTAACTGAATGCATCAGAGGAAGGGGAATAATATAGTCAAAAGTGGCTTTCATTTTCAGCAACACTTGGAAGGATTAAAAAGGTGCATTGCTTCTGTATGAGGTCTCAGGTCAAACACAAAGTTATCTTTTAGCTTGATTCTTCCTTTCTTTCCTAGATTGTTCTTCCTGTCCTCCCACATACGCATTTCGGACCAAACAAAAACAGGTAGCTTTCTGGGTTCTTGTCTTCATGCGGTATTCCCGTAGAATCCAGTTCTTTGTCGACCTTCTATGCAATGCTTTACGTAACTTTCTTCAGAATCAAAGGACACAAATCCTTCCCCATTAAATACACCCTTATCAGCTTTACATCCCTGCTTGTGTTGTGTAGCAGGCTAGACAAAGATAGACAGAGCAAGTGGAGACAACATGGGATTGCACAGGTATAGTATGTTGCTAATGTTTTGGGTTTGTATTGCAAGCCAAGGTTTTTTGTGGAAGGGCGTGGGTGGGTTTGCTGGGAATTGGGGAACTCGCTCTACGCATCCCCTTCCGCCAAAAATAGTAGTGCAGCTGCTAAAGGACAATGGGTTCAACAAAGTGAAGCTGTTTGAGGCAGATCCTGTGGCACTCAAGGCTCTGGGTCATTCAAGCATTGAGGTGATGGTTGGCATACCCAATGACCTCCTGGCTTCTCTTGCAAGTAATGTCAATAGTGCTGTGGCTTGGGTCTCCCAAAACGTATCCACTTTCATCTCCAAAAATGGTGTTAATATAAGGTAATCTTTTTGTTACCTATTCGCTTCCATGTTTTTGCTCTGCTTGCTTCCTGCTGTTTGCAAATCAATCCTTTTTTATAAATGCTTGTTTTTCACTTCTTAGTAGTAGTGCTGAAAATTAGACCAAACTGGAGTTTATTTAATTGAACTAATCCTAAAACCAATTCAGTTACAGCTAAAAACCGACCAAGAACTGATTGAGCACCCATAGAACCAATGGGTAAACTAGTTAAACCAATCTTATTATTTTTTAAATTTTAATTTATATTTCTAAGTTATAATTTATTCATATCTATATCTAATAAGCATTGATAAATGAAAGAAAATAAATAAATATGCAAAAAATATGCACGGAATATGTATTTATGCAGATATTTTAAAATTATAAATTATAAAGTACAAAATTAGTATACATATTGGATTAAAATAATGAAATAGTGATGGATATTACTTTTTTTATTTCATGTTATTTTACTTGAAATTTAAAAATTTATTTTTCTTATATATAAATATTTTAAGTATATATTATTTAGAACGTATTAATTCATTTATGACTGGTTATACCATATTTTAGACCATAATTTGACTACTGAACCATAAATTAATACCTTATTTAATGACCAAGGCATGATGGGTTCGGAGATGATCCGCGGCTAAGTTTTTTTCCAGGTAAAAACGAAGAAAGAAATTATTTTACTCTTTGGGGAAAAAATATTCGACTCCTTCATATGATATATTTGAATATATAAAGTAAGATTAAAAATAATTGGGATAAGAATATGACACAATGCGTGATCAGTGCCGGTTCTTAATGGGCCATGTTCTAACATAACCAACTTTACATTTGGGCTGGGCTATCCTAACGGATGCCACTGATTGCATTATATACTAAAGCATGATTTTTCTAATTTGTATGTCCATCAAGAAAGCGACTTTCCTCGTCTCTTCCTGATGAATGGCCCTCTTTTCTACTTTAACGTGGTTTCTTGAGGCACAACATAGTTCATTTAAGAAACCGTTTTCGGAAATGCTCTTTTTTACTTGTCAAACGTTTCAGCGAAGTTGCAAATGAATCCCTTACCCAAGGCCCAAACCCTCATTCTGTTCTATGTGCTTGATCAAAGTTCCAAATGAACTAAATCCCTGACAAAACTATCTGTGAATATTCCAGGTACGTTGCAGTGGGTAATGAACCTTTTCTTAAGTCCTACAATGGTATGTTTGTGCGATCCACATTTCCAGCCCTCCAGAACATTCAAGCAGCTCTTATAAAAGCTGGGTTAGGGAGGCAAGTGAAAGCAACTGTCCCTCTAAATGCTGATGTGTATCAGAGTGATAGTGGTCTGCCATCAGGAGGAGACTTTAGGCCTGATATTCATGACCAAATGATGGCCATTATCAAGTTTCTGAACCAAAATGGTGCTCCTCTCACCATCAACATCTATCCTTTCCTAAGCCTTGACGCTGATCCAAACTTCCCAAAAGAATTTGCCTTCTTTAATGGCTCTGCACAACCAGTAGTTGATGGCTCCAAAACTTACACCAATGTTCTAGATGCCAACTTTGATACCCTTGTTTCCGCTCTTGAAAAGAATGGTTTTGGCTCAATGCCCATCATAATTGGGGAGGTAGGGTGGCCTACGGATGGAAACTCCAATGCCAATGTACAGAATGCCCAGAGGTTCAATCAAGGGTTATTTGATCGTATTGTTAAAGGGCAAGGTACCCCAAAGAGATCAACCCCGCCGGATATCTATGTGTTTGGACTTCTAGATGAAGATGCTAAGAGTACTGAACCAGGAAACTTTGAGAGACATTGGGGGATTTTCAACTATGATGGGTCTCTGAAGTACTCCTTGGACTTGGGTAGTGGGAAATCACTAGTTGCTGCAAAAGGGGTCAAGTATTTGCCAAAACAATGGTGTGTAATGTCACCGCAAGCAAGTATTTTAGACCCAAATTTCGCTAAGAGTATGAGCAATGCCTGCACATATGCTGATTGCACAAGCATTTCTCCTGGATCTTCTTGTGGGAATTTGGACACTAGGGCCAATGCTTCTTATGCCTTTAACATGTACTACCAAACCATGGATCAGCGCAAGGATGCTTGCCAGTTTAACAATCTTTCAATGATCACTAAGATAGATCCTTCTCCCTCTCAAAGTGCCTGCAAATTTCAAATCATGATTGATCTGGGGAAACATGACACTAAATCCACTTCATTGGCTGCCCCAACGATAAAGATGAACTCAATGGTCATGCTGGTATCAAGCTTCATGATCATCATTCCACTATCTCTGTGGATCTGAATTTATTTACTCGTTGTTGTTTTTATTGTTGTGCACAGTTGCTCTTGCACATCATCACGGTTTCCTTTTGTGCAGTTTTATGTTCATCAAGATTTTCAGTCCCTGTGTAATCGGTTGATTGTTGAAATGATCTTATTCTTTATAGAGTCAATGTCAGCAGGTAGACATATGATATCTTTATAATTTTTACAGCTGTTGTAGATGGTGAATTGGAATCCATTGTTGAGAGTGCATTTGAGAATATTGAGCAAGATAGGAATGACTTTCTTTCACCTTTTACCATAGTCGTCTGATGGATTTTGGTGTATTTTCTGTTATCTTGGAAAACTTGATCATGTAGGGGGGATTGTTTCATGGACAGTGTAAATTGTCTCATTAGGTTTGCCAACAACGAAATTTCGCATAGAATAGGTTGATATGTTACAATTGGGAATTTGAAGTTTCATCTCATTGTCATGTTGTCTTAATTTTTTTTTAATTAATTTATTTAGAAGAGTAAGTATGGATGATTTGGAGTTACAAACAAGATCATACCCGTGACTTGTCACTTACTGAGAAGCTTTCATGTCACTAGGCCACATAGCTATTGGCTGTCTCAAGATTCTCTTAATTATCTGGAAGGGGGTGAATGGTTGGATGCTGTTTTAATGTTGTAACCAGTGTTTAACCCATATTTGGATCCACAATGATGAGTCTTAGATTGCATCCATATATTATAGGTGATCCATGCCAATAACTACGCTTTTTTGAGAGTGGGTGAAATCTAAAGTTGAGACAGAATTTGACAAGACACCCTGTCTAAACATACACACTAAGAATAAAAATAAAAAAAGGTCAAAAACATGAAGCAATCCGGGTTCCTGTCTTCAAGCGGAATCCTCCTAGAATCTAGTTCTTTGTCGAACTATTAAGCAACTATTTGCGCCATAACTTTCTTCAGAATCAAAGGACGCAGATCCATCCTTAGCAGCTTCACAGTTCACACCCCTGCTTGTGTTGTGTTGGGTGACAGGCTAAACAGAGAGGAACAGAGCAAGCAGAGAGACAACATGGGATCGCGCAACTATACTATGTCGTTGCTTGTGTTCTGGGTTTGCATTGCAGGACAAGGTTTGTTGTCAAAGGGTATGTCTGGGTTTGGTTGCAACTGGGGGAGAAACTCTTCGCATCCCCTTCCACCAGAGATAGTGGTGCAGCTGCTGAAGGACAATGGGTTCAAAAAAGTGAGGCTATATGAGGCAGATTTTGCGGCACTCAAGGCTCTGCAAAATACAAGTACTGAGGTAATGGTTGGCATACCCAATGACCTCTTGGCTACGCTCGCGAGTAATGCCTATCATGCTGTGGCTTGGGTCTCCAAAAATGTAACCACTTACATTACCAGATACGGGGTCAACATAAGGTAATCTTGCTTCCTCATTTTGCTCTGTTTTCCTTTTCCCCAAATGCGTGTTTTTCACTCTTCACTGCCTTGTCCTTGTGTGTCAACTCACGCAAGCAGATCCCCTCAGCGTCCTCCGCGGCACCTTTTTTTTTTTTTTTTTTCTTTTTCTTTCCTTTTGTTTTTTCTCATCTCATCTCCGCCCTTAATGATTAGATAAGGAATGTCTAGATTAGTCTCAACCCTACTGTATCAAACCGTTATTATCAAAGAGTCAGAGGAAGCCTCCTCTGCCTCGATGAGAGGCAGACCGTCCAGATTTAATATTTAATCTGGACGGTCCAGATTAAATTTTTATAATTTTTATTTTAAATTTATATTTTTAAAATAAAAATATAAAAAAATTTAATAAATATATTTATTAATTTGAAAATTCAGGTTTTATATAAATAGTATAAATTTAATATTAAAAATTTAAATTGATTTTTTAAATATATTCTGGACAATACTGTTATATTCTAAATAGAGCAATAAACTTATTAAAAAAATTTAATATTAAATTTAGACTATTTATATTAAATCTAGACTATTAGATTGATAATTATATTTATTATTTTTTATAATTTTTATATATTTTTATTTTAAAAATATAACTTTAAAATAAAAATTAAAAATATTTATCTGAACCATCCAGATTTAATTTAAAAGGTCTAAATTTTTCTCTACCTCAATGAAGAGATAGAGAAAGCTTCCCTCAATGAAGGAAAGCCGACTTCTATTATCAATGAGATCTTATGGTTATTTTAAGAATATTTTAGTAATATTCATTTAATTTAACTACATATCTTAAAACTTGAACTAGAGATTACATGATAAGTTGATTTAACTTCAAGTGTCACTTGATAAAATAGGCAATAATTTTAAACTGTTAAAATTCAATATGCACAATGTATAACTACAATAAAATAAATAAATAAATAATTTAATTTATAAAAAAATTAATAATGTTATACAACTGTAAATTATGCAAGTGAAATTTTAACAATTTGAATTTATCTATTTTTATGTGATAATTATTTTATAAAATAATTAAATTTGTTGGTAAAAATAATTCAATTTGGACCATTCATTTTCTTATTTAAGGATATAGATGACATGAGGAGAAGAAAGAAGGGAGAATAGATTATGAGAGTATCTCAACCCGTCAACTTACAATTATCATTAATATTAGGAAAAATTAATCATTTCATCTTTATGTTTCTTCTTTAATTAAAATTCAATCTTTAAATTTGAAGGTTAGTGCAATGATTCAATCTCTAAACTTACACACTTATAACCTAGTCCATATAATTTTATTAGTATAAAATATTGGTTTTTACAATTTAAAAAATAAAATTATAAAGAACAAAATTATTATCAATCCTTGGAACCTTGGGACTAATATTTTAAATAGTTAAAATTATAAAAATTGAGTTATATTAAGTTAAAGTTTATGAACTAAGTTATAATATAGTTGAATTATAGGATTGAGTATATCAAATTAAAATTTAGGAATTAAATTACAATTAAGTTAAAAATATAAAAATTAAATAATTAATTTTTCCTTATTATTATACACTCTGCGTTCCTTAATATATAAGGCTTAATCAAGTTTATATTTATTAAGAAATGGTCATTGTATCTTTAAAATGGTTAAAAATATGTGTTACTTTTTATTTTCGTTCTTATTTGCAATTAATAATAAAAACTATAATAAATTCCTATCCAAGAGTTCAAGCCATGATAAATAAAAGGGGTTAAATTACCTCATGTATATTAAGAGGAAAAAAGGCTTTCAAAATTTGTCAGGACGGAGAGAATGTACATATATATAATAGCTTGGAAGATAATTAAAGTTAGGAAAATTATTCCCAATCACTTAATTCACAAATTTTGTTGATCCATAAAGATCCCTAATGATAAATATTCATAATTTTACTTGTAAATTTATGTTATTTGAATGATAAATATTGTTATACTTGTAAATTATACTCTTTTGGTAGTAATTAAATACTCACAGGTGAACTAGTAAATTAATAATATATGACTGTTAAATTTGTAATCTTTGGGAAGGAATAATGCCAATATCTTTATGGTATATCGCTATGAAAGCTCCTCAAAAAGTGAAAAATTATAAGTTTAATCTCATTTACAATTTTAAATCTAGCGTGTTTTACATTTAAAAAAACACGCTAAAGATGCCCCCTGAAAATTATATTTTTCTTTATTACATGTGATAATAAAATAATGATTTATTTGTGTAAAATGTATTTTCCTCCTTTCTTTTCTCCTCTAACGTAGTGTCCGGAGGCACAGCATAATTAATACAAGAAACCACTTTTCAACGAAGTTGCAAATGAATCATGAACCCAGATCCTCATTCTGGTCTTATATTTGCTTGATAAAAGTTTCAACTGAACTGCATCCCTCACAAAAGTGTCTCTGAATGTCCCCAGGTATGTTGCTGTGGGTAATGAACCTTTTCTAAAATCCTACAATGGTACGTTTGCGAAATCCACATTTCCAGCTCTTCGGAACATCCAATCAGCCCTCAAAAAAGCTGGATTTGGGCGGCGAGTAAAGGTCACAATCCCTCTGAATGTTGATGTGTATCAGAGTCACACAGGTCTTCCATCAGGAGGAGACTTCAGGCCTGATATCCATGACCAAATGATGCCCATTCTCAAGCTTCTGAACCAAAATGCTGCTCCTCTCACCATCAACATCCATCCTTTCCTAAGCCTTAATGCTAATAACACAAACTTCACACAAGAATTTGCCTTCTTCAATGGCTCTGCAAAACCAGTTCTTGATGGTTCTTTAATTTACACCAATGTCCTAGACTTGAGCTTTGATACCCTTGTTTCTGCTCTTGAAAAAAATGGTTTTGGCTCAATGCCCATCATAATTGGGGAGGTAGGTTGGCCTACAGATGGAGGCCCAAATGCCAATATACAGAGTGCCTCGAGGTTCTACGAAGGGTTATTTGGTCGTATCCTTAAGGGCCAAGGAAGCCCAAAGAGATCAACCCCACCCGATATCTATGTGTTTGGACTTCTAGATGAAGATCGTAAGAGTACTGAACCAGGAAACTTTGAGAGACATTGGGGGATTTTCAAGTATGATGGGTCTCTGAAATATGACTTGGACTTGGGTAGCGGGAAATCACTAGTTGGTGCAGAAGAGGTCAAGCATTTGTCAGACCAATGGTGTGTAATGTCAGATTTGGCAAGTACCTCAGAACCAGATTTAGCTGAGAGTGTGAGAATTGCCTGCACATATGCTGATTGCACTAGCATTTCTCCTGGATCTTCTTGTGGGAATTTGGACGCTAGGACCAATGCTTCTTATGCATTTAACATGTACTTTCAAACCATGAATCAGAATGAAAGTTTGTGCAACTTTAACAGTCTTGCAAGGACAACTAATGATAATCCTTCACCTTTTTTACACGGCTGTGAATTTATTACCATGATTGATCTAGGGAAGGATGAGAATGCCTCCACTTCTCTGGCAACCCCAATGATGAAGATGAACTCAATGGTCAGCATGCTGGTATCAAGCTTCATAGTCATCATTCCGCTCACTCTCTGGATTTAAATTTATCTATTCATTGTTGTTTTTAGTGTTATGCAGAGTTTGCTCTTGCACATCATCGCTATTTTCTTTTGAATGGTTTCATTTTCATCAAGGTTTTCAACGATGGTAGATCGAAAGATGGTTGTTGGTCGAGTTTCTTGTGTTTGAACAATGACACTTAAAATCTGGTTGCTGATAGATTAGGGTACTAAAACTATGTTTTGGCTAATAACTACAGTTTTGTATTTCTCTAGTGTCTAATTTGTGACAAACAAAGACAAGTGAATTGTGTAAGAGACATCAACGAAATCATTTTTAAGCTTCTTTAACTAAAATTTCGATGATCATGGGTGGCGCCACATATAAATCATGGGGGCAAATGCACCCCTTGGACAAAAAAAAAAAATAATACAAAGAGTGTTCATTATCCTAATACTTTACCCCTCTTGAATCAAATATTTTGCACCCCTTAGTCCAACTTTAAATATATTTGAATTTCAAAAAATTTTATACTCTCTTAAAGTTAGTAATGATATTAACAATTGTCACAACAAAGGTAAAAAGAGAATTTTTTTTAATGAAATTTGTGAAAAATCAATTTTTTTAACATCAACAATGAGATGATTGTTTAATGATTCCATAACATGAAGTCATGCAAGGTACAATTTTCTTAAAATTATTAAGTTTTTTTAAATTATTAATTTAAATAGTGTAGCATCCCATGGCCGAAGTCCTGGCATTGCCACTGTCCGCGATGGAATTAGCATCAAGTGCAAGTGGGTGAAGATGAATGATATACATAGGACCAGAGATCAAGCTTCATAATAAGCATGATTCAAGGCATTGACCAGAATAAAAATGAATGTAAAGTTCAACGGTTTAACAATATTTGTCACAAACAAAGACTCATCACCATCTAACATTGGTGGCTTAAAAAAAATGGCCATCATACACTAATAATTAATGGTACCAATGGATCTAATGAATCGTGTCTGTGCAACGCAGCAACTAAACTCAATACTCATGATGTTAGCGTACAATTATTAATAATTAAAAATCATCACAAGCAGTTTATCAAAAATAAACGGAAAAAAAGGAATCATCCCAATGAATCAAGAATCAATATAGACATGCATCATGCATGTACACTTTTCTTCATTTAATAAAAAGCATGAGCTCTCGTTTTGGATAGTACAAATTATATACTATATTTCTCCATGTTATGTACAAAATAATTAATAAATTTAAAAATTGTAAAAAATATCAAATTATTTTTTCTAAAATTGAGTCCATTCTTAATGTTTAAATTTTGTTGAAAAATATGAAAAAAAAATACTTAAAGGAATATATAAAAAGAAAAGGGGGCACGGAGCCTTGAAAAATAATTTTATGATAGGATAACAATATTCATTCATGTGACGTATTCTATTGTATTTTATAAAAAAAATTATATTTGATACCAAATAATAATTGAAGTACACCCAAGCATATATAATTGGCCGAAAGGTCCAATATTAGAGATAATAGAAAATGTATTAATAGGTGTTGATCGATAGTAAAAAAAAGTTAAAATTATTAAACTACAAGGTTTCAAATTTAAATTTTGCATGGACATAAAAAATATTTTTAAAAGAACTACCTCCAATTGAGTTAAAAAAAATATTCAAAAGTATATATTATTTCATTTTCATGTACATAAACGGTAACATGTCTCTTATGTGTTGTAATGTTAGATTAATTGTCCGCATTATTATTGATAGTACAAGAAAATTAACCAACATATGTTAAACTCGTAGATATCCAAATTTTAGATAACTCCGTAATTTAAAAAATATATAATTTTTTGGATTAAAATTTTATTAAATGAATACTAATTTAATAATAAATAAACTATGAAATAGAATTTTGTACAAAAATATGTTTTTCTTTACCTGGGGCTATTGTATTATGTAGTAACTATTTGACAATTTGTCAATTGGGGTTTTAGATCAAATTTAAAAGTTAAATAGCTTATCAAAGTCACTTTAACTTTTTAGTTTTAGCTTTACTTTTATATGCATTTATCATAAGCTAGTGGCTGACATGGTTTCATCAAAAGCGAGGGCGAAGCTGCTGCTGCTTTTCTTTGGTTTGATGGTGAGGTTTCTCTTAATGGATGGGCTCTAAAGATTCTTTATTTTTCATTGGCAAACATTTTCCTTGTCATTTCAATTAGCGAGGGAAATGATAAAAGCATGTGTGGCTAAATTGCATAGAGTTTAAAATAAGTTTTATTATTCATTATTTAAAAACAAAAATCATTTTTTTTTAATTTTATGTCCAGTGCTGTTAATGATTTTCTAAGTTTACATATATTTTTGGTAGGCCTGAATTTACAAACAACTAGATTTTATACCCGTGATTAATCCTTATTTTTTGTTTGAAATAAATAAAAAGGAAACATATTTTAACAATTTCATTTTTTAAAAAAAATGGACAAATATGTTATAAACTTTTAATTAAGAGATGTAAAAAAAATAATTTAAAACTTTCTAGCCACAATTCTCTATTCTTTATTTCATATATTTTATATATCAAATTAATTTAAGGGTCAAATTTTGTTTTGAAACCTAAAAGATTAAAGTAACAATTTAAGAAGGGAGAATTTTAATTAAGTACCTTTATAGAAACTTAATTTCATGTGGGTTCAAAAAAAAATTTGAAATTTTAGTTCAACCTAAGGGAGAAAAGTAAAAAAAATTTTGCTAGTGAAAAAATCAAAATACCCTTTACTTATTATGCAAGATTATTAGTTATTAATTTTTTTACTGCACTTATTAATTGACCAGTATCACCTATAAATTGCATCTGTTTGCCAAACAATCAATAACGTTAGTTATTAGTTTACTAACTTTACTTATTAATTTACTAACATCAGTCGTAAATTACAAAATCTATCAATAATTTACAATTAATATTTATAAATTACAAGACTTATCAATAATTTACAACTGATGTTGGTAAATTAAAAAGTAGAATTTATAATTTAACAATTAATGTTGCTGCTTATAATTAAAAAATTGATGTTAAGTCTTATATAATTATTAATATATCAACTTGTATAATTTGTAACTCATATTCATAAAGTAACAAATAAAGTAAGAAAATTAATAATTAGTAATTTTGCATAACAAGTGAAGGGTGTTTTGGTTTTTTCACCGATAATTTTTTTTTTTTTAACTTTTCTCCCTTAAACTAAACTGAAATTTTAAAATTTTTTTGAACCCACCTAAAATTAAGTCTCTACAAAGGTACTTAACTGAAATTCTCCCATTTAAGAAAATGTAAGAAATTAAATTGATAAAAAATTAAAATTAAGAAACTAAATCAATAGTTAAGCAAATTTGAGGGATTTAAAGTTTCATTGTCCCTTTAAAATAAACATGTACTTTATTCTAAAACTCATTACCTCGTGAATATTGAATATGTGAACACTAACCTATTATAATTTAAAATTTACTGTATTGAGTAACAAATTAAAAATATATCTTATGCATTAAAAAACAATTTATTTTTACAAAAATTTGTTTTATTCTACAATTTATTACCTTGTACATGTAGACCTAAATTTTAATGGACGTAGACATGAATTTTCATAATTTGTGAAAATTAAATTTATAATTTTATTCTAAGTTTTTCATTTATATTTTTATTACATGTTCAATATTTACCACTTACGACCACATTTATAATAATAAAGTAGATAGATAAAAACATATTTTTTTAAACCATGATTGACTATGGTTGTTTGTAGCATTCAATGCTAGCAATCTCAACCTTTTAAAATAAAGTTTTAATTGTTTTTGTAAAAATAGTTAGAACATTGTAAAATTATAGTGATTTATTTTGAATTTATATTCATTAAATAATCTAAATCTACTTATTCAATAAGAATATCAATTATACCTATTAAATTATATTGATACTTGAAAATTATCAAGATACATTTTTTATAAGATATTAAAATAAAACTCTCAATCCAAATGCTCTTTACATTTGTTGTTTCCTTTAAAAATTTAAGATTTAATGATTTTTTTAGTATTGCATGATAAAATATCTTAAAAAAGTCTAATTAAACAGAACAATTGTCATCGTGCTATATATAATACTCATTGAGTGATAGGATTTATTTTAGTCATTAAATCCAAATTTGATGTATTTCACAAAATCATTGTAATTCTATCATAATGCATTGACAAAATTTACTATATATTTCCTCCATTAATAAATATAAGCAAAATTTTCATATGAGTTGTTGTTATTTTTTATAAACAAAACAATAATTTTCAAAAAGTATTTATGACATCTTTCTGATTTTTTGTTGTGATATGCTACTATTTTCATTTTATATTTTTATTTGTGTAAAAATACTTGGGGTTGATCTTATTTTTGAAATCTATCATCTTGTTCCTTTTTTGTTCCTGATTGTATTTTGATGTAGTTGATCTACTTTTCTCATTTGATTCTAATTTGAGTTTCTACCGTTTTCTTGAAATTTGTTATCCGTTATTTTTTCTTATTTGTTTCTGGTTGTATTTTGATTTTGGTTTATCTATTTTTCTTAATTGATTTGGTTTTGATTTTGGTTGATCTAATTTAATTCGTTGATTGTGATTTGTTTTTACTCTTTTCTTTTACTTTCTCCTTATTGTGTTTGTTTTTCACACTTTTTTAATTTTAGTTTTTAAATTTTTTGAAATTATTTATATAGTAGCCAAGGGTACAAAAAAAAAAACAAAAGAAATACACTATTTAAAGAATTGGTGACATCACTAATGCACTTTACAATATAGTAAGGGTAAGATAAGAATATAGTAAAATAAGATTAGTTAAGATTTGATTTTTAATCTAAACTTTGCATCCTTTAATAAACAAACACAATGTTAACTTCACAAGCCCCTTCTCTGGCTCTCTTTAAAACACCATCGTCTCTCATCTACCATGTCTCACTTTCTTAATTTTTCTCAATCTCTGTGGCTTGCTCATGTTACTCCATGCTCCCCCTCTTTCATTTCTCATCTTGCCCCATGGTCTTTCTCTTGCTCTGTTATTTCAATGCGTCCCTTGATTAGTAAATGCCCCAAGTCCTTAAAGATTCATCTCCATCTCTATCTACAGAACACCCCAAGCCTTGAAAGATCCATCTATATAGGTTATTTGGACAAGCAAAAATTATGATAGTCTTTCACAATTTAGGTGTTTCTCTAGCATCAATTCTCCAAGCAAGTCATGAACGAATCAATTTGTGACTCCAAATGATGGTGATCATAGCAAATCAAGATCTAGGTTTCAATGGAGTCATGACTCCATTTTGAATTCAATGGTTTCGAAAGGTTTTAATGGAGTCCCCATTGTCATCATCATCTTCCAAGAAAAGAAGATAGAAAAAACTAATATGTAGATATTGTCGTCGGTGGCTGCGGATCGATGCTCATGAAGATTCTAATTCAAGATTTCAAATGAATATGAGAATCTTAGGTTGGGGGTACGAAGTTTTGATTTTTAGTTTCTTGAAATTATTTATATAATGGCCAAGGGTAAAAAAAAAAAAAATACACTATTTAAAGAATTGTTGATCTACAATTCTCCAATGCACTTTATAATATAGTGAGATAAGATAAGATGTGATTTATTATATGTAAAATATATATTATATTAATTATTTAAATGTCTTATTCAATACGTCATTTTATTCTACTTCATCATGTCAAAAGATAATACTAGCATACCACTAGATTTTTAGTTCAATTGGCAAGAGCAACAGCATTTGAATGACCAATATATCCAACCTAAATATGTAGGATTTTGTGTCTTAAAAAAAAAAAGAAATTCCTCAATTACCTCTTCTTCTTCTTTTTTTAAAAAGGCACGCGACTGTAGGGAATTTATTCTGATTGAGAAAAATTACAATTTCCAAAACAATAAAAATAATTCAGCAAAAGATAAAGATTAGAGAGAACAAGGCATTTTGTGCCCCACTTTTATTTATATCGTTTAAGACGAGACTCCACATTTTTCGTCAGTGCATAATGATTTACTATTAGATCTTTATTTTGATGTCAAATAATATTTTTTTATATTTATAATCCTGTTAAAAGTATATTTTTATTTTTCTCAGTAAAGTGCCAGACCTCTAAAAAATAAAAAAATTAATTTAAATAAAAAAATTCACCGAAATTGAGATAAGTCCAACTGCAGCTACTTATTATTATTATTATTATTATTTTGGGCCATTCCCTTCAACCTTAAGTTGTTTAAAACAAAACAAAAAAAACCAATAACTCTATATATTTTGATTTAACAAGTTGACACTAAATTAAATTCTTACATTATTAATTACAACTTGCGGTTAGGGAGAGTATAAAATTTCATTATTATTATTATAAAATTTATATAATTATTTTAAATGTAATAAAAATTACACATTTGTACTTCCTCAGTTAAAAAATATAAACGGGTTAGATGTTTAAAAATATAAATATTTTTAAATATTTTAAGTTACAACCGTTACCTTTTTTTTAAGTGCCTCTATTAAATATTCTCTCCGTTAAAAATATAAGATATTTTTAATCAAATCTCACTTCTCAATAAGTGCCTCTATTAAATATTCTCTCCGTTTAAAAATATAAGATATTTTTAATCAAATCTCACTTCTCAATAAAGTAATTATTGCTTTCAACTAACTTTATCTTTTCATATTTATCTCTATTAAATACTCTACAATAAATGTAAAGTCATTATCAAATACTTTTTAAAAAAGACAATGATTATACTTTAAAAGATTAAAAACATATTACATTTTTAAATATTTAACTTCTCAAAAAATATCTTATATTTTTAAATAGAGGGAATAAATTATTTTATATTTATTTTCAAATTTTTATAATGATAAATATAAAAAAATAAAATTAATTTAAAAATAAATAATTATTTTATTAAAAAATAAAATTTTATTAAAGATGCGTTACATTCTCGAGAAGAAAAGCACAACGGTGGGAAAAGGTGAATTTGATGCAGGATTCTTTAAATAGATTTATTTATTTATTTTTGCCAGATTCTTTAAATGGATTGATGATAAAAGACAAGGACAATCGAAATTCCGGCAGAATTTTCGATAAACCAATAATCATGTATTTGCTTATTTTTTTCGATATATTATTATTATTATTATGATTATTATTATTATTATTATATACTGTGTATATCACATAAGCGTAATCAAAACGCCAGCCGTGCCATGCCATACCGAGTTTTTGAAGAGTTTTAACTGAACGAAAGTGTGAGACCGTGAAGAACGATCTCTGGTGGCGATTTCATTGGTTTGGATTTCTTGTCTTGATGCATATTCCATTCTGAGCCTAGAAATTCTTCTCAAGCCGAACGATTTTTCTTAGGTTTTCCGTCATTTCCCTCAACTGATGCTCCTTTTCGAAGTTTTCTCTTCTGGGTCTATTTTTGACGGGATCTGATGTGTAGTGCCTAGATTGATTTTTCCGAACTGGGACATTATCATATTATAAAGCGGAGGCTTCCCTTTTTAATCCGTAGAGGGATTGGCTTCCTCATCCTAATTTATTCCTAGGGTTTCTTTCGGTTTAGTTGCTTTGTCTTCGCAACAATTGGCTGTGAAGTTGTTCTCTGTTTGATCAGCTTGATTAGTTTTCGGGGTTGAGAATTTTGCCATTGCTCTAGGGATATTGCTTTTCATCCAAATTTATGATCGGGTTCTTTCTTGGTTCATGCTGATGTCGCGATGTGATTGTAAGATTCTACGGATATTATGTTGTTTAAATTGAAGAATAGCCAAGGCTCTGTGCGCTCCTTGTTTCAGCAAGCTCTGCACCACCACCACCACCACCACCATTATCTTCTCATGGCTCTTATGGTTGGCTACGACCCTTCTTCCAACTTTACCAAGGCCTTTTCGGAGTATTCATCTCTTTCTTTTGGCCGTGGCAGTAGCCTCGGCTGCAACCTATCTTTCCCATTTCTTCGGAAGCAGCTGTATGCTAATGTTTTCCAAGTTAATAGATGCATAGGATTCACTCTTCAAGGTTGCTTCGATACCAATAACAATAATAATAAGCTTTTTATCAAGCCAAAGGCCCGTGGCTTTGCAGCTTTCCCTCGCCCGCCATCGTTAGCGGATATAGAGGATGTTACTGTCCGGGATAATAATCGCAATGCTACTATAAATACATCGTTAAATAGGAGTCCCACTAAACCTCTGAATTTTCAGGATTGCCATTTGTCCAAGAAACTTGTTGTTGCGGTTGACGTTGATGAAGGTATCAATGCAGATGCCTCTCTTTATCTTATCTCATAAATAGCCTGTTCTGTATTCTGTTTATAACTGATTAAATTAAATATGAATGCAGATAACGGTTCACCCAGTAATTTATTTAACCCTATAAGAGTATATTTGGAAATCCAGGAAGTAAATAACAATGCCTAATGTATGCAATCTAATATTTTTTATCTTCCGTTATTGTAACATAATATACCACCTATATAGTTATCATGAATGCCATGGTATCTCTTACCGTAGTATACAAGATACCAATACCTATCAATTTTGATCACAATACATTAGGCACCTTAATCTGAAATATGTCATGTAGTGAAATTTTATCTAACATAAGGCTACACCTCACTCTAGACATCTCAATTTACTGTTTGTTGATATCTTGTAAAAATGTAGGATTATGCTCCTCTTTTCTTCTAACCTTTATTTTCTATCTGCTTTTCTGATGACCAGTATTAGGGAACTTCGTGTCAGCTTTGAACAGGTTCATTGCAGATCGATACTCATCAAATTATTCAGTTTCTGAATATCATGTGTATGAGTTCTTCAGGGTAATTCTTTGTTGCTGCTTTAGTATTCCCGACATTTATTATGAGTGGCTGGTCATGCAAATGCTGCTTTATTGTTCTTTTTTTTTTCCCTAAAAATAACAATCATTATAACAATTGTCATACTCATTTGGAGACTCATTTATTCCCCTTTTTCACCAATCTTAAATAAACCAACATTCCCTCTTGATATATTTGCTCCTAGAATTATTAAAATATAATCAAATGCTCAATCATAATTTTTAATTTTAATTTAAACTCCTGGGCTATTACATTATTTGTACACTTTCACTACACCAACACTCCTCCTTATTATAGTTATTCCAAACATTAATAAAATACACTCAAAACAAATTATTATATATTTAATTTATCATTATTATTTTTTCCCTCAAAATTCTGGGGTTATTATATTCTTCCCCCCTTTAAAAAAATTCAGTCCTCCGAATTTAAATATGTAATTATTTCAATACACAATTATTTGTGGATTCTTTGTCTTTAACATAAAACCAAAACAAGTATTGGCACAATTTAATTCCAGTTCTGAAAGAAGTCAAGTTCTCATATTTACACATTAAATCAAAATTTGTAAGAAATACATATCTTCTTAACTGCATTATTTCTATTGGATTGATAAATATATGCAAGCTATCAAAAATTTATACATAATAAGTCATGTTTCCCTTATAGTTATCATAAACTAAAACTCATTGCTTTAATAACTATTTCGTAATTTTTTTAAGCTTAAGCATTGACTAAAGGGTTTGTAAAAACAATATGTTGTTGGAACATCTGGGCTGAGCTGGTTCTTTGGTAATATTCCATAACATGAATTTTGACATTATGCACTTAACGTACCATTGATAATGATATGCACCCAGCTTTTAAGGACAGAAGTCTTTGGGCGCATGAATATGTTGTGTACTATTCAGTGCTTTCCTTTCTTCTTTTTCTTCCCATTTTCCAATATATCATGAGCAGGATGATTCCCTGGTGTAATGTGATGGAGTATTATCAATAAGTTGCACCCTTGGTTAAGTTTTCTTAATTTTTATTTGTTTTTTTCCAATGGTTTTGTTGGATCTTCTGAGTTTTTGCATCCACTTTTCTAGGACATTTTTTTTATCTTCTCTTGCTTACTGCAGCAAGCAGATTGTTGTATGCATCAAGGGCCTTTTGGCTCTATTTAACAAAATTTCATTGCTGTAGAAAATTAGTACTTTTAACAACCCACTCAGTCTGTGGTATCATTTTGAAATTTTCCATCTTTTCATCTAGTGCTGATGCACCCTTCATTTCTGTTACAGATATGGAATTGTTCTCGTGATGAAGGTAAACGCTAAGTGTCTCCATTACACTTAGATTGCATTTCGTGGACAGTTTTATTGCTCTCACCTTCTTTTGAGAACCTATAGGATGATTTCAATTATTCCTTCCCTTCTTTTTTTCTTGCGATGCTCGTTGGATCAAGTGTCTTGTGTTATAGAATTTGAATATTTTTGAAGTTGGATCCCATGAAAATGTAATTCTCAAAATGAATCAAATTCTAGTAGTTTCATGATTGTATTGACACTTTTTGATAAGAAAAGCCTATTCTGATGCTGATTATATGATTTCTTCGTTCTTGAACTATTCAGCCTGAATTGATTCTTTGATCTTTGACGAGTAGCAATTTTCCCAAAAGACATGGTGCCTACTGGTAGCAACCTGAACATGGAAAGTAAAAGAAAGCCTCGGCAGAGTATAATATGGGATACTACCAAAATATCAATGCATTATCGTCATAGACTCATGCTAGAAGATATATAATTATAAACAAGTTGTCATTTGCATTTTATTTTTAACATTGAACTGACTTTTTATTGGGCTGGTGGAGGGGTAAAAGTCCCTTGAAGGCTGAAGCTGTCAAACAGCTTAACAAATTTAGCGTATGAATTATCATTATTATAAAAGATTTTTTTATTTCTCTTTTTTTCTCTTCATAATACTAATTGACAACTGACCTTATTGTTTTGCAGCTGCTGCCCGTGTGCATGAGTTTTTTAAGACACCATATTTCAAGACAGGGATCCACCCTCTCCCAGGTGCTCAGACAGCCCTTCAGAAGTTATCAAGATTTTGTAACCTATCAGTTGTAACGTATGCTTACTGTGTTAGACCTTCTTCAACCTGTAATAAATCTTTTTAGCTTCAACTAATTGGAGCTGCTTGTGTATGTTTGTGATCAGATCACGGCAGAATGCAATCAAGGACCAGACAATTGAGTGGCTAGAGAAGAATTTTCCGGGACTTTTTCAGGAAATTCACTTTGGAAACCACTTTGCTCTTGATGGGGTGCCTAGACCCAAGTCAGAGATTTGTAGGTATGCCCCCTGGTCCTGTTCAATTGTATTCTGATGACTTTGTGGGAGAATAATGCTTTTATATCAACTTTTTGAACAGTGTTGTGAACTATACTTGTTGTAGTGATCAATTGCCTCTCAATCTCATTTCTGTTTTCACTTTATAAGCTGCGATCTTTGTCAGTTTCAGAGATTTTTGTTGATAAAGATATTCCTCACTGAAACTGATAGGTCTTTAGATGCTCAAGTTCTAATTGATGATAACCCAAGATATGCTATAGAATGTGCTGAAGTCGGAATCAGGGTCCTGCTTTTTGATTACGAGAACTCGTATCCTTGGTGCAAGATTGAATCTGTTGATCAGCATCCTCTGGTGACTAAAGTTAAGAACTGGGAAGAAGTGGAGCAACAAATAATGTCATTGACAGCTTCATAGTCTCTAATTCCTGCTGGTAACCTTTTTTGTGACACCACCCTTTTGCTAGAAGTATTGTTCTAATTAGTAGGCCTACAATGTGTATGGAGGAGGTGAGATCATTTGAAGCTGCTAGAGTTAGAGCACTTGCCTGGGAGGGCCGGGCTGGGGTAGGAGAAGTATAAAATTGCTCACATTTACATTCTTTTCTCCACTTTTGAGCAGCACCATGCAAGAGTGGAACATGAAGTTGTTCAAGTGGAAATTCTCCTATGATTTGTTGGCAAAGAATCCTTTTACAATTCCGTTATGGATATAGAAGTCGAACCATTTACTTGGGTCGTTGTACAACAATTAAGGAAATTTGAAGACGCCTTTCTCCGTGCATTGCATGGAATCTAGAATGAGCTGATAGTACAGTTTGTTGTGTTTTATGTTATATATTTTCTTATTCCCATCAATATTGCTTGATGATTGATGATATATTGATATTGATGGTGTATTGATGTAACAATATCATCAAAGCATGTTGGTTTATCCTGTGAGAAAATCATGTTGGATCAGGGGGCTTCTGTGGGCATTTTACTTCCAAAGCCCGAAATAGTTTAGTAGTCTGAAAAATATTGGAATCGTAAAATGAGGTGCGCTGCTGTTAAGCTTAAGATGCTCGGCTTTTGTTCAACAGACTGAAATTTAAGGCATCTTTTTGCTATGAAAAACATTTCTCATCAACTCATACCACTTGTACGCAAGTCCAGATTAGATAATATTTTCAATTGGAAGTAATGATGAAGTACAACTTAAAATATTGTTAGGAGTACGGTAGGTAAATCCTATGGGCTTCTTCATTTTGTGAGCTTTTGAACTTCAACAAGCTAAAAATCAGAATAGGACATGTGAAGAAGATGGGCCTAGTTATGAGATGCATGTAGACTTGTGAAGTGAACACGTCATAGGACAATTATGTGTGTATTTAGTTTTTAGTTTGTTAAAAATTTATTTAGTAAAAGTTAATTTAGTAAAAATTAATTGTTATAATAAAATTTGTATTTGGATATATTTTTTTAAAAGTTAATTTGATAAATTAAAAATTATTTGGATTGTGATAATTAAATGTGTTTTTGAATGTATAATTATTAAAATGACATTGGTTTATGATAACTTAAAATTTTTATTATATAAATATGATATATATAAAATATTTAAAAAGTATGATAAAGATTTTAAATAATATAAAATTTGATCTATAATGTAAAAAATTTAATCTTTAATTATTTGTACTTTTTTAATTTGTAATTTTAAAAAACATGATAAAGATTTATAATTTTTATTATAAATTAATGCTAAAAATTAATATGAGTAATTATTTAATTTATAATACAAAAAAATTTCTATCTAATGATTATTATTTAAATGATAATTATATTTTTAATAATTAACTATTTTTTAAATAAAAGAATAGGATATTAAATTTGAGATAGTATAGTCAAATAAAATCTCATTTTTTAAATTCACGTTTTAAAAAATTTATCATTTTATATCCATCAAATCTACTTTCAATAACATTCTCAAAGCAATTTTAGAACACACTTTCATCTCTTTTTTTTTTTTTCCACCAAGCAACATTTCACATCTCAGATGTGAAAAAATACATCTCAAAAGTTAAAAGTGAATTACCCAAATACACCCTTTATCCTAATCATGTTTTGGCAATTAGGCCGCCGCCGTGTTTGTCGAGTGAGCTTAATAACGTGTGTTTCACTTGCCATAACTTAACTGGGACAAGCTGGATTGCTAAAGCATGTATGGGTTTTGGATATTGGATTAATATGAGCATTTTGTAAATTTTTTGCTCTCTGGAATACTATATCGGATATTGGTGACCACTTCACCATTAAAAAAAAAAAAAAGTTAGTTAAAGCTTTCATCTCTTAAAAAATGTTACCTCCTCCATCAAAAAATATTAGACATTTTTAATTAAATCTTGCCTCTTAATAAAATACTTATTTGTTTTCAAACTAATGTCATCTTTTTATATTTATACTTATTTAATAGCATTTTATTTTAAAATAAACATAAAATAATTTATTTAGTATTGGCATTAAAAAAAACACATCAATTATATTTGAAACATATTTGAAACTCTAAAAATACGTTAATTTATTTAATATCCAACCCATAAAAAAAAATCTTACATGTTTTAATAAGGGGAGTGCATCTTTCAAATTATACTGTCGTTGGATATCCCAAAAAGTGTTTCGACAATAACAACTAAAATTACAATGCACCTTTTTCTAAAAGAAAAAATAAAGTAGGGATATAGTTAAAAAATAATTATAAAATTTACCTAATGTCATATATCTTAGACCGAGCAAGCTATCTTGTGGACTGAAGAGAATGTCTACCAATAGCCACATGTAGGGGTGAGCATCGATTGGTTCAATTCGATTCGGTCTCAAAATATATAGAATCAATCGACCGAATAACACTGAAAATGAAAACCGAATTGAATTGAACAAACTAATCAAACCAAACAAGGAAAAAATCAAAATTTGATAATTCGATTCCATCGATTAATTCAATTTTTTGTTTTATATTGGACTATTGAAATTGGGCCCATTTTTTTAAAAATTAAAACAAACAGCACTGCAAAATTAGGCCTTTTTTATTTATTTTTCAATATGAGCCCATTTTAATTACACTCATATAACATAGAGCCCAAATATTATAAAGGCATGAATAATCAAATAAATAATTTATAAAAAATAGAATTGAGAGTGATTGACCGAAATAGGATTTTAAGTGATGTTATTATTTTTTATTCTTTATTAAAATAAAAATAAAATAAAATAAAATAATTTATAAATTAAATATAATTATAAATTAATAAATTATATGTAATTCGATCAGTTTGGTCTATTTAATTTTAAATTTTACTAACCGAATCGAACAGATCAACCAAAATTTTTTAAATAAAAAAATTAAATCGAATCAAAAAATCAAATAGACCGAATCAAATAGATAAAATTTAATTCAATTTTTAGTTTCGATTCAGTTTTGCTCACCCTTAACCACGTGGTTTAATGACACACTTAACTCATCCAAGTAGTGGAAGGTTATGGGTTAATCTCACCTACAATTCTATGTAACCCAAAAAAATTGTTGGATTAAGCTTTGAGGAAATAAATACATATTTTTTATTTTGTGATATTAGTGGGTAGAGTCAGTAATTCAAGTCAAACCCAACAAGCCAGGCCGAATAAGTTATAAAAAATTTAAGGTTGGGTTTAGTAAAATAATATATTTTTAATCCCTGAATTCCTAAATAAAAAATTGTATTTTATAAAATATAAAATATGATAGATATTAATTAATTCATTAAGTTTTAGATCATTTTATAATAAGATACCATATATTTAAGTGAATTGCTATAGATATTTTTTAAAAAAATTAAAAATATTTATACTGTCATATTTTTATTTTTTAATCTACAAAATATCTTAAATTAATATTTAAAATGTATTTTAATATGATTTTTAAATTTCAAGACCCTCATTTTTTTAAAAAAAAATTGAGTCTTATACATCATTTATTTTTTAAAAAATAAAAATAATTAATTTTGAAAATAAAAAAATAAATTAAATTTAATTTTAAAAATAAAAATGCTGGCTGTGCTTAATCATTTAGGCTTTTTAGGGAGTTTGGGTTTGTCCGGATTGGATTTATTCTTGTAGGTATTCAGGTATTCTATCTCCCCGAATTACCAACTCTATCGGTAGGTGGTTACGTGTCAAACCAAAAAATGGGTAGGAGATGGCTTAACTTGCTGATCTCTTTTATACTTCTCTCAATTATTAGCTCTTGTTGAAAAATTAAATTTTTAATATTTTTTAAAGGAAAGATACGCGTGTAATGTCCATTCGTAGCATTTCTGATTTCTCATCTACAACACTCGCGATGAGTTGTGAATTTACAATTTGCCCTAATCATCATGTCATCAACATATCATCAACAAGTGTTCCACGGGGAGCCATGGGCCGATAACAATGTGATGTGGCTTCACACTCATTTTACTGTTCATAGAGCTGAGGTATAGTTTTTGATGGGGCAAGAGTTGGTGGCTTGTACCAGCGCAACTTCTCTAAAACTGCTCGTTCTGCTTCTTCTCCCAACTTTGTGGTCTTCTTCGACCTGCTCACTTTCTTGTCTTGCCTTCACATTTTATTCCCTGGTTCTTCTTCTTTTTCTTCTTCATATCCATTGGTGGGAGCTCACATATTACTTTTCAATTTCTGCTGAGAAATCAACCGTAGGGCTTCCATGTTCCATGATCATGTTCTTGAAGCTTGGAGAAGTAGCCTCACGTTATTGAAAGGTTCGCTCAGGTTCATCGACATCATCATGGTCGTCACGTTTCTTTCTCTCATCCTCAGCGCAAATGACGCCACTCTGTCTCCAATGGCAGAGAGAGTGGTTTGAGGAGGAGTTTATATGAGAGGCGAGGCGACAGTAGCTGTTGACTTGGTAAGACATGACGCGGCAGAGCTCGGCGGGGAAGAGGGTGCAACCATTGTTGACTAGAGTCAAAGTTGCGATTGAAGTCTTGTGGGATTCGTTGACCAGAAGTCGATGCCAAGAATTCTAGCCGGAGGTCGTGCCGGTTCTGTTTGTGAACTAACGTCATTTCCATTTCACATATCATTTGTTTATTACTTTGATCCACACGCATCGAATTAAGCGTGGAAATTAAGTTAGATGATCGAACATTTACATGTCAAAGAATCAATAATTAACTTCAAAGTTTAAGTGCTTTAGACATCAACTAAAAGCGTGTAAGATTATTTCATACCTAATATATATTTGATATTTGTCGTCGCAGATGGTCTTTGATTGAGGAAAGATCGCCAGGGAGAGCTGACAACGAGGTCAAGAACCATTAGCATGGCCACCTAAAGACGAACTTGGAGTGCAATCACAGGAAAAACCTGAGTTCAAAATGAAGCCTATCGATACTTGTGGAGGAGAAAAAAACAAAGTACTTCGAACCTGAAAGTCCTTTTCGTGGTTTTGACGCTTCTTCCTCTAGCAATGTCAGGAAGCTCACCACCCATGACCCATCTACAGTTCATCATCTTCAACCGAACTCATTATTTCTCTATATATTATAGGAATTCAAATTCCTGTCTAATATAGTTATGTGATCACTTTGCTGTTGTTCATCAAGATTTACTTTAATGATCCATTGGTTCAATTCTTTTTAATACAAGGTCACACATAAACCTAATAAGAAACAAGAAAATTAGGTCATATAAAAAACAACAAGGTTCTCCCATCCTACCAGGGAATCATGATAGATTATAATATTAAGTTATCTCTAGGTGTTTGGTGAATAAAATCTGCATTTATTTGCGCCTCTAAAAATATTATTAAAAGTGATTGGCCAATCTCTCATAACAAAATATTCAATCTCATTTATTTTAATTCTCAATCAGTTAATTTTGTTCAACCTGCACAAGCTTTCAACAGTGGCGAAAACACGTACTCTCCACAGTGAAGTGTGTTCACTTCAAAGCATTTTCCTTCTATATCTTTACATGCAATAATTATGTGTTAATATATCACGTTAACACATAATTGGATGGAAGAAAAGGTTTCCTATGTTTAATCACTATATTTAATCAATATTTAAGTGCATTGCATGGGGAAGTAAATGCTAGTTACAGCATCATTTACAGGCATTTACAGTGGCATGAAGCTGTTGAAATTTGAAAAAACGTTGAATAGCACAATACGCTTTTGTAAACCAAATATGAAAGCCGTCGCCCAAATCAATCATTCTTCTCTATCAACTTGATGCCACAGGCTTGTATAATATCCAGAGCTGCAAAAACAAGTTTGATTTAGTTAGAAACACTAGATGAAATGTATACCATATTAGCTTCACATGCACATACTATTAAAACTGGTAAAGTAAATTTTTTTTTTTTGAGATTTATTTTAATTTGTGCGGACCATATATGTACTATAGTCATCTCTTTTCTGGCATGGGCAATAAATCAACACCAGATAAATATACATTGCATTGACCTGGATTGTATACTTCAGGTTTTATAGGCCTCAAGACACCTCTTGTTTGAATCTTGTCCTTAAGCAAGAGCTGTGAAAATAGATAGAGAAAGTTTTCTTAACACTAATAGCCGGGATTACAGTGTAAAGGAACAGAAATACAAAACAGGTACCAGAGCTCCAGCAGCCGCTGGAATTCCAACAGTGATGGCCATGGCACTTGTGGTTTTTCCATCAATAGTCCTTCCAAATTCAAGCAATGTTGCTCTATGGTTCTCTGTCTGTTGGCTGTCTGGGAATTCTATCTCCACTTCATGGTACAAAAGCACCATATCCTGATTGTTTGTCAGATCAAACTTAAGTACATCTATAACTCTATTGCACTACATATTACAATAACACGTCGTTTCTGGCAGAGGATAGGCAATTTTCTGGTCCATAATATGGCGCATAAATCATAGCAAGCCACCCATGACTTGTTTTCAAAAAACTTGGCTACTTGAAATATCAAGAAGCTTCAAAAGAATATTCAATCGCCTTGACTTCAACATTTTATATTGTTGCTTAAAACATACCTGTTCTGTGCTGGAATAGGCTAACCTTTCCTCCATGCGCAAACAGATGACGTCAAAAGCACTTTGGCAGGAAACAGGGATTTCTGTTTGCTCATGAAGCCCCAAAAATCTAGGAGATAGGACCCAATTCACGATTAAAAAGATAATCCACCGAATGAAATGATAACAAAGAAAGGGGAAAGGTCTACATACATGATAGTTTTGGCAGTCTTTGATGCAGTTCCTTGCTCCTTGCAATGTCCTAAGGAAAATATCCTTTCCATAATGTTTTTCTCTCCAATTAGAGGCCCACTTGGATCTTCAATTGGAATTTTCAGAAGTCCAAACAAAAATGCTCTGAAAGTGGGTCTCTCTTCATTCTTAAGAAATGGATGAGCTTCATGGTTAAAGAAGCCAATCCTAGAAAGAGTCCCCATGATCTTGCTAAAACCTGTGCAGTGCAAGAACAAGTGATCATATTTTTCGTATTCAACTCGGTGAATCCACTAGCGGCATTACATTACGGTCATAATACTTGTGATATTTGCCAAACAAAAACTATATACATTCATGTTTAGATAATGTGATCAACCCTTCTCAACCGTTAACGTAAATTATTTTTTTCATAAACGTATATATATATATATATATATGCCATGCCTTCATAACGGAGGGTTCCACGGAAAATGGTTGATGCTTCAGATCCTATTCCATACAAATCTCCATAAATTAAGGAGTTCCGATTTGGAAGACACTCCAAAGAAAAAGCTGGAAGATCAGGTATCTGTAGTCTCGAAGCTGAATCATAAAGACTGTCCCCTGCGAAAAAAATAAAGTGTAATAGAGTGAGACTGAAAGGGAACAGCTACTGACATAACAAACTGGCGCAGAGGAGAGATGGGGAATGGCTCAAAAAACAGAACAAATGGGTGCATGCAAGATTACATAATCCAGTGAAAACAAAAGAGAAGATGAACAAGAAAAAGAATAGGCCCGAGCACACATCCAACTACTTTCATGAAATCAAATCTACAACTTACTAAAAGCTCACCATCTACATTCACAGTTTCACCACAAGATCTGTAGGTGGCAGGATTACGCCCAGCTCGAATAGCACCAGCTGGATTCCAACTGAAAAATTAGCAAATTATAAGTTCTTACAGCATCAATGGCCACAAAATAACCATCAAAGTACCCCTATAAGCAGAGTACATAGATGATATGTCTATTTTCATAGATATAAAATATCCATATTTAGACTATAATTTGTGCTACAATATGACAATTTTGGGCTTTCATTGCATGATTTTATATAGTTTGATGTCTTATGGCTTCACAGGCCCTTTTCAGAGCATCTGATAGATTTTGGGCCAAAAAGACAGAGCTTTACTAGTTCAAACAACCCACACATACCATTTCACAAGTCCTATGGGTAAGGAGGCGAGAAGCTAACCAATAGGCTATTTTCTACTATTTCCTCGTGAAAATAGGACATTTTCTTTTAAGGACAGTTGGAGAAAAACAGACTGAATTGTGCATGAATCAGATATTCAGAATTGTCCTCTCCTCTTCACTCGACCCCATGAAGCGTATGAGAACTAGTTAGGATAGGAGAGAACTCACTCTGGGACGCCACATCATTATTATTACTGGAGTCCCCCTTAGACCACCCCCATGAACAGCATATATCTTCCATATACCAGGGTCCCCAGATAGGCTAGAATTATTAGGTAATCATAAATTTTATTGGTGCCAAAATAGTTTCTGACAGTCTGCTGTATACAGCTCCAAAGACCCAGAGTCTATTATATGATCAAAGTTGAATGTTCTTGCCAAAATTGAAATACATTTTTTATTAAAAAAAATATACAAACACATTATTGATCAATAATGGCATCATCATCAACAAGAAGAAGCCTTATCCCACTGATTAATAATGACATCATATATCTAAAATTAGAAATAGAAAATTATGCCTTCACACAAATCATAGCATAATTCATTGTGACAACAGTTATTTATCAAGTCATCACACAGAATCAACAAGTAATTGATCACTTCTCCTTAAGGAAGTCAGCTTCATAATATCATATCGTGCTAGTTTGAAAGGTGATTTTCAATTCATCACTTTACCAATAAGTTGCAACAAAACCCAATTTTAGATAAGCAAAGGTAACTGTCACTTTTACGAACAATCTACAACTGTGCAGATAAGACATTTCATGAACTACCTAAATTTATATGCTAATGGATTGTTAGCAGCCGCTGGAGATGGGAGTCCACCGCAGTAAGAAGTGAAAGACTTTATTTTCCCATTCCTCATATGTGCTTGGTCAATCATCTTCATCGCCATCATATGATCTGGAACATAAAACCATCGCTAGTTTGTATTTTTGCTGAATAGGTCAGAGCTGAAATTTTGTCTGACTCTCCATAAACAATAGGACTAAAACTAGGGTACGGGTAGGAAAAACGCTAAGCACATAACCCACCTAAGCATAATGGGAAACTAGCAAAATAAAATATTAGGAACAACTAATCCTGAAAAAAACTTAAAAGTAACTACACAAAAGAGGAAAAATTATGAACAGAAGATGTAACCAAAGACAATCTGGCCAAACAAGCACAATCTCCAACAATAAGCTTATTGCATTATCTATTGAAAATACTTGCTGTGGACTTTCTTGAATTTCCAGAAGCTCGTTTCATCCACACTCAATGTGAAAGTTCATTTATGGAAAAACTAAAGAATAATTAATTTTCAAATGCTCCGGGAAAATTTGTATTAATATATAATGAGATGTAAATAATTGCAAAATGATATTCATTCATTAAATAAACGATTTTTAATGACTCCCTTCAGCCATAAGCATCATACCATCAGAAATGAAACATAAGGTTATGGAAATTCCCCAGTAAACTAAGGTCCAAAAACAAATACCAGGTATAAGTGCACAACTATAACCTATTTTATGCTACTGAAGTCCTGGGAACTGATACCATCAAAATAAGTCTTACCTATGCCTGGGTCCAAGCCCATCTCACCAAGGATTGTTATACCAACTTCTTTTGCCTTATCATCTAACATTGTAATGGAGCTATCAACATAGCTAGCAGTGACAAGATGTCTTTTAAGCTGCAAGAAGTAAAAGTCATTAACGTAGCTGCAAGAAAGAAAGAAAAATTTCTTCCCAATTCATAGCACAAGTTACTTCTCTCATTCTGGGCTAGAAGACAAGGGAAAACATTTGGGCAGAAGGGAGCAGTTGTATTTGATGGCTTCTATTATTTTCCCCCACATGAAGACCAATCTAAAGAAGTGACTTAAAGCAAATCATTTTGGTCAATGTGAATTAAATCATTCTCAGTCCATTAAAAATGAATAAATTACATAGAACTCCCCTTGATTTTCCAAAATACCCAATTTTGCCTAATTTTTTTTTTAAACTTGAATACTCTTCATAAAAAATATAGAGAAGATCCATGTAACTTCATTAAAACTCAAGAAAGCTCGATAGTTCTCTTAAAAAGTTCATAGAATCATTCCGTTCCTTTATGAATTGGATTTGGTTGTGGTCCAGAATAAAAATCACATTATTTCAACAATCATTAATATTAGATACTGTGAAGTACCTCTATACAAGCATTTGCCACCAAAATGTGACAACTAGGGGGCAGAAGACTTATAACAACGTTAACCTGTCAACAAATATAAAAACAAGATTCTGATGAGACAGCCCTCAAGCCCTAAGAACATGGGCAGAGATCAGTTTGCTGGAAGCTTGTGCAAAAGTGGCACATTATAGTAGAAAATGGTAGATGACCGAGTAAAAGACCATAGTCATCATTAAAGCATGAAGCAAGCATATGAGTTTATCATATTACAGCATTAGATAGGGCAAGATCACCTTTCAAATTTCATTTGCATGTCTTCATAAAGCATAAACTAAGGGCCTCAGCAAGATACTTTTGGAAGCATCAATTGATATAACTATTGTAGAAACTACCTTCCAAGAGACTATAAGATTGTACCTGTGAAATATACTTACAAAGACTGGCATGATCCATCACGTCAACTTGAATTCCAGTTGCACCTGGAATACCTTCAACAATCTGCTTTGAACAACATCGATATCATATCAGGCATCCCTGCATCAAACCTGGCTCTGCTTCCTTAACTGAACTTATGGAAAAGCACAGTATTTTAGTCAACATACCTGTTCCGCATCCTCCAGATAAAGAGATCCCACAATGACTTCAATATCAGTATGTTCTTCATAGTCATATTCAAACAATGGTTTATACCATTGACTGGATGAAAAACTTCCAAGTGATGATAACACCTCTGCAGCTGGTCGACATACCCGACCAGCACCAAGAATCAAAACTGCAGCCTTATTTTTTGGCTCAGGTCCATTCTTTAAAATACTCTGTTGGACTTTGCCAAGTCTCAGTGAAATCTTAAGAGAAGTTAAATTATCAATGATCTGATCCAGAACTTCCCTATCATTTGCACCAACCTGATCACGAACAGCATATAATAAAATTATGCTTGAACCAACATAAAAATCCACTCACATGTAGTTTATATGTATAATTTCAAAAGTAAATGTCTAAAGGAAAAGGAAACATATATATGTAAATCTTGGGATAAATCTACTTAAACTACATTCACGTGAGAAAAGAAAACTATACCACAATAGCTTTCCTTAAGACAGCCAAATAATTACGAGTGAGTGTGTGTGTGCGTGTGTGCGCGTGTGCGCGCGTGTGTGCGCGCGCGCGCGCGCGCGCGTGTGGGTGTGAGAGAGAGAGAGAGAGAGATGAGATTGTTTTTTGGTCCAAAAGTCAATAAACTGCTTTTATCAGCGCGCTTTCAATATGACCAGGTAGATATGCTTTCGTCAGAATTCTATAGAGACAGAGAAGAGAAATACTAAGATGAAATAAACTGCTTTTGAGCGGCACAACCTTTTGACTTTGACCAAAAATATATGCTTCGGTAGAGATCCAGATTTGCATTCCATTGGAATTCACTCAAATTAACAACAAATTTTTCCATCCATTTAACGGGAAATATTCATTAACTCACTTCAATAACAATCAGCTTCTCATTTTAATTACTCGAATTACTCGCTTTTAACTTTTAAGGCACCACAATAAACATCTTAGTTTAAATCAGATGACTACTTACTTCAAGTTCTGAGTATGACATAGCATCAGCACTCTGACCCACTTGACACCTGACTAAGTGGAAGGAACCTCCCAAAGCTTCAATAATATCTAAAGCCTCATTTATCAGAAACTGATCAAATAAGTGACCACTCAGAGAAACCTGAAATTTATATCCAACCATCTTGATCAAGAAATTAAGTAGCAACTATATTGACTGCCCCGACCACATACAACTCAAGTCAAGCTCAGCTTTTAAAACATAATTGGTGTCTAAAAACACTAAACCAAATAACATACCAATATCTTGTATTCGGTATTATGAGATGAAGAACTTGCTAAACTTCCTGATAATTCTCTGCAAATCAAATGACAGATAGTGTATAATTTGTACAACAATCACACTAAAAATAAGGAAATAAACTACTTAGACAAACAAAAAATGAATATATGTATATTAAGATTCCATTTAATAAAACTAGTAAGTTCATAAAATAGTGTTAAATTAAGTACAATTTCCTTAAAAGGAGATCAGAAGACCGATAATTCCAGCTTGATAAAATCAGAAATGTTGTACAAATTTAAGTGGAGAAGAGGAACTATAGTAATTAGGGATGCTTGGGCATGAACCTGCTGCCATGCATGAGAAGGATTGCTTTTGAGGTAATATATTGAATCAATTTCGTATGTGCTGTCATTCAAGTTCTCAATTCAGAGACACAGGTGTTAACTTCCATCACAAGATCTCAAGTAACTTTATCCTAACTTTATCCTACCTGAAAGCCAAGAAGCTATGCAATAATTCTTGTCAGGAGCTATAATTTCAGTTATAATATTCGCTACAGTCTTGAATACAAGAGATGAAAAACTAACTCACAAATATCAAAGAAAAATGGTCGACATCAGTTGGGCCTCTTAATTTTGTCACAAATGAAAATAACCTTCCAAAAATGTCCTCCACCTAAGCCTCCAATGTCAATTTAATGAAATTATTATATTATTCATCATTTGAATACGGAAGGTTTAGTGAAAGGTTTTCCAAAGATATTTATACATGTAGAGTACAATTATACTACAGATTGTGCAGTGGTACTGCACATTTTCAACCAAAATATGCTCAAAGCCTGATACAGTTGTCGAAGATTGCTATTTCATAAAGAGCAAATGCCCTGCGGCAGGAGTTAGATTCAAGGAGATAAATTTATACTATTAGAAGCAGACTGTGTATTCTAAACATTAGCAGTAAAATATTAAGATAGTCTAGAATGATAGATTAGAAACATACTCTCCACCAGACTTCCGCATGCGCGGTATATATTCGAATAAAGAGGTTAGCCCTCCTCCATGGGTTATGCAAGCTCTCCTTAAGTGTTCCGGCAATTCTGAGATGTCTGAAGTAGAAGCCAATTTTTTTACAAATTGGGACAGTATGTTTCCAAAATGTTCGGAGGCCTAGCCATAGAGAAATCACATGTTCAATAATTTGCAAAATTACAGAATTCTCTCATGTAACACTACAAAAGAAATTCCCAGATAACAACACTCCAACCTCTTTTGCAAATTCTGTTGGGAGGATGTCTACAGCTAAACATACCACGCCACTCCCATCCATGTGGTCATAGCAGGAATCAGTTAAGGGATCGTATCTAAAAGCAATGTTTAATCGCATCATTATAAAAGGGTACAAAAGTTCTCAATAACAGATGAAATGTCATTATGTCATGTGCCGTCTTAGTGTTAACATTAATGTATAAAAAATATTTACAAGAAGAGAATGAAAGCGGATTCGAACTTCACTTCACTGTTATTGGGCAGAATCTATAATGCAACATTTGAGCATAACGCTTACCCATATTTGGATGTCATGGCTAAAAGGGTAAAACCAAATATGATAGCGTTTCACGCCCTCAATTTTTTCCTCTCCCTCTCCTCCCTATTTCATTTAATTCCAAACATGTTGATATAAAATTAAGGAACTCTCATAGCTACAGAAGGTTCACAAGCCACCAATTAAAAAGAAAAAAAAAAACTGTAATCCAATTGTAAAATAAAATTTTATGAAGCTAGTATGTTCTCAGTTAAGTATACTCTTGAAACATGAGGGTTACTTCCTGTCATACTTTCACATTAATAACAATTTTCGGTAAGGACGGTACTATTGATTGCATCATTGATGATTGGAGACTAGGGGGCGATAATTCTTATTTCGAACTTTTAGCCACCTCCCCTTCCAGAAGAGCCCTCTAAATTCCCAATCATAGGAACCTCATGCTTAGTCTAATGCATAAAAATTGCAGCTGGAATAAAGTAATATTGACAATCAAGTCAACGACACGCGTCCAACCCATCCAAAAGAAAAACATGGGCCAACTTCAAATGAGATAATGCAGCTAGAAAGACAGCAACGAGAAGTTTCATGCAGCAAAGGGATGACGGTTTGCTCTTTCTTGTCGAATGAAACACAAATTTTAAAGGTCTCTTGGTGCATCTTCATCCAACTTTTTTCAGTAAGCTGCAATGTTATGCATATGTTTTGTTCTCTTCCAAATTCATGCATGTGTTATCAGAAATAGATAAAGGGTATCTTAAAAATTAATTTCTGATTCATTTCTATACTCTGACAGTTTCCTTTCCATTCACCTAATTTTCACAAACATCTCAGCCAGGATAGTCACCAGATGATGACTTTGTAATTCATTAACTGGGACATATGTTTATATAATCAATGTTTTTCTAAGTTATAGAATATTATTTAAGCAAAGAATCAGAATTGCAGTAATATTCAATAATGCCAATGCATAACTACCATTACTTTCTCAAGAAAAAAGCAAATGGGTAAATGAACAAACAGGAGTAAATAGTTAAAATTCTAAATCAGTATCATGGTACTACCAATGGTATACCTGAAGAAAGGCGAATCAATTGATGTGGTTTGGTTAACAAACTCTATTGATCCCCCTATATCACATGTAATGTCTGATATTCCAACAAGTGGACACCCTTTTCTCATCAAATCTTGAAGCTGCTTTGTACTTAACAACCGAGGAAATCTATTCTCCCAATACATGCAATTGACTAAGAGATGTAAATGTAAGTAGTGCTTATTGATCATGAAGTACATACACAAACACAAACACACAAGCTGTGGAAGAGGAAATGAAAAGAACAAAATGAAAGCAATTTATCAAAATTAAATGCATCAAAAACAGAACTTCATATTTTTGGTGGGTTAACTTGAGATAGTTCAAAATCATGTTAATTTACAAATCATATTATTGAAAACAAAGCAGAACGAGTGTTTTTTTTTGGAAGAAATAACAACAAAACTTTCAAATTACAAGCAATAGAGTACTAAATACATTTAAAGCCATTTTATCAGCTCATGACAAATGAAGGCCAAGCCAAATTGAAAAGACCAGCTAATTATATAAAGCATGTAAGTTAGCTCAACATTGAAAGCAAGAAGCAACCTACCAATCACAGATGCATATGGAGCCACTTTTTCATGGAAAACAGGGTTGTAATGTTCTGGATGTGAATAATAGTCAGCCTGAAATACCATGTAAGGTCAGTAATAGTTCCAAATCTCACCATCAGACTAACAGAAGACACCAATGTTTTTGAATCACTCAACTTCGAAGAAGATATGACTAAAAAGCGAAACAGCAGAATCATTTTATACATAAATATTAAGAGAAAAAAATAAAGAACATCAATGAAAGAGAAATAGTAAAGATTTTTAAATTAATGCAACCATTTAGGGGAAAAATAAATAAATAAATAATAAAAAAGCAGAAGCAAAAATGACAATGATTAGTGCAGCATGACAGTCCAAAAAGTCGCTTTCAAATAATTTTAACAATTGGAACATCACGGACAATGCTGATAACTTAAGCCCATGCAATGTGGGACTCCATCAGATGCTGACTAGAATGTTGACCTTTGATCAACACATGAAACAGTGCGGCAATAAAATGATAGTAGAAATTAATTTTTAGATGCCAGAGTCATCCAAGAGGACTGCTAATAAACAGTCTATATTTCTTTCTTTGAAAAAATGGTCATATACACTATGAGTAATGATTTTTACTGCATTGTTTTAATATTTTACTTTGAACTGAATCGCTGTTTTACACATAAACTACGATGACAATGACAGCGAATGTCAGTCCATGCATGCTATCGAAACTGGAGCTTGCATTCTAGAGCTAAGTGAATCCAAACAGCAAGCCAAGACTTATTTCAGCTCATGGTAAAAGGAAACTACTACTCCTAAATTGAACAAATGGGATGCAGCTAAAAATGATGCCAAAACTCAATCACAATATTAGCCAACTCACTTTGTCAAAGGCTTTTGCAGGGTCTTTGGGTTCAACCATGTCTTGGGCAGTCACAACACAACCATAAACTTGGAGAACTCTTTTTGATGTAAACGCTGATTGATCATTGCCCTGACCAACAAAAATATTATAACTTCAAGACACAGGAGAATTGAACACACAAAAAATGCATGCCATGGAATGGAAATCCACGTCAAAATGCAACCAAAACACTATTCTGAGATTGAGTGCAAGACATTAGGAACCTTAGAAGCAACACGATGATATAACATTTTCAATGTACTATAATTTGATTACAATGTAGAATCAATATTTGAATTTCTCTTTTTTCACAAGTGTTTGTCGCATAAAGGTTCTACATATTAATTCCATATGAATACTAATGTGTTGAACTTGTGAAAAAAGTATTGCACTCTTTCTCCACATAAACCAGAGAAAAAAAAAATTACAGTTCTAAATTTAGTCTAATGCTGATAATTTACCATTTTATGAAGTTCGCTAAGTCTACATGGATCCACAAAGGTGTGAGGAAGTAGCTTAAGAATCTCTTGTGCGCCAGTAGAAACTACAAAAAACAGAGGGTTTACTTTCAATATTAAATTAATATATGTAATTTAATGACAAGAAAAAGACTGAGTCACTGCTGATAAGTGAGTGATCAGAGAGACTGAACGTTATTCCAGCAGAGTGAAAAATTAATAAGTAAACAGAATGAGATATCAGAAAACTTGGTGCAAGGACAGAGTGACTTTTATAATTTCAGTTTGCATTATTATCTTCAAGAAAGGAGAGAGATTTAAGCTGCAAAGTTAAAGCACAATTTCCAAGCAAAACTACAAATGTTATCACCACACCATTTCCTGAACCAGTAAATACAAAGACCAATGGACAGATTCCCAATGGCAACCCATCAGCAGCAATTGCTTCGCCAACAGAAATCACAGCAGCCTTTGCAGCAGCCAATGAAGGGTACATGTAAGATGATCCCAGTGATAAGAAAGGCGTGGAGTATCCAAGGCTTAAAAACCCTGTACAATTATGAACAGAGAAAAAGTCAAGTTCAAGATCATACAACTAGTTCAGTTTTGGAAAAAAAAAAAAAAAAAAAGCTTAAGCTCTAAAATAAAAGCTAGTGAATTTTTTCATCATAATATCTAACAGGCAAAAAGCAGGAAAATTAGATGAGGACATACCCAAAAAAAAAAAAAAAAACAGAGAGAGAGAGAGAGGCTGATTTGAACGTTTAAGATTCAAACACTCTTCAACCTCCCATCACTTGATTAGCAAGGGGTTTTTTGATTGCCTGCTTTATCTTTTACTTTTGTTTGTACTAGTTTGAAGTTTGAACAGGCTGCATGTTGCCAGGGGTTCTTTATGAATATGATTCCATTGTTACTCAAAAAAAAAAAAAAAGATTCCAACACTCAAGCAAATTATATACCCGCCCAATGTACAACAAAGATCAAGGGAAGAACATACGCTGTCCCAACGCACTTAGGAAGTCGATCATTCCAGCTCTACCAGCAAATTTACCAAATGCAATCAACCTCTTTCCTTCGTTCCCAACAATCAATTCATAGTCATATAACGATACCCTCTCAGCTAGGATCTAAAGATAAAAAAACAATAACTATAATTAGTCACGAGACATCTATTAGAAATTTGAATTCACAATCCGAAAATAAAGAACTATAGATACCTTATTCAGCAAAGGCATGTTCTCTTTCTGAGCTTTATGAGTATGGGAGAAAAAGGCGTAAGCTCTGTCAGGTAAAATAGACTCTAACTGCATGAATCCATATGAAGTATCAAGAATTTCAGTGCAAAATGCTGAATAGCTTGTTCAAAATCACAAAAGCACAGACAAGCACGAAATTACGTGGGGAGGAATATAAGTCAAAGAAATAAGAAAATTCACCTTTGGTTGCTTAATACCCAAAATGAGACCACATTCCGACAAGTCTTCCGAAATTTCACAGCCAACATCCTCGTACAATGCATCATGATAAATTCGCTTCGTGGATGGCTGCACGATGATTCGAGACACCCCTGTATTATCCCTTCCACCGTGAAGTAGACGAGCACAGTGTAACGGAGTCAAAGGCGCCCTTCTCTCCCATTTATTCACAGACTCCGCAAGTATCCCAACAACTCCGTTTCCAAGCATCGTCCCTCTTATCTGTAGGCCGAAAACCCAGAAATGGAGGGATATCGTGAACTTATAACCCCGCCCGAGATCCTAGAAGGAAAAGGTTAACGTGAAAAGAGGTGATTCTGACAGATTTAAAGATTTAAAACTGCTAATGCCTGTCGATCAGGTCAGCGACTCAGCTCCTATAATCGCAGAACAGAAAGCTTCGTATATCCGGGTCACAGTCAGTGACGCGATGATAATGAGGAGAATTTGAAAATGATGAATGTGCTGATGATAATGAAGTATTTGTTTATTAATAGTGAACCGTCACGTCACCTGAGGAGAGGAGGGCCCAGCTAAGCGGAAATTTGCAAAGTTTTTTGGAGCCTGGCGACGATGATACGGCAATCTGCATATGGCCGTTGCACTGATAAGGACGATGACAAAAGCGCACGCAAGCAGACAATCGGCTGTGTTTGGGAGGCATGGATCCCCGTAAGGAATAGAGTTTGGTGGGACATGGCCATGGCGCTGGCGCCGCATTTTGTCCCAGAAACAGAAATTGTAAAATTCTCTCATAATATCCTATTTATAAATTATTTTTATTAACTTTATCAATATTAATATAATAAAAATAAAATTTTATAAAATTATAAATAAAATTATAAATAAAATTTTTAAAAAATAAATAAACTATAAATATTATTCTTCTGTTTCCTTTCTTATTCAGAGATAATTTAAATATTTTATTTAAAATAAAATATTATTATTAATTTAATGATTTAAAATTCAATAATTTATAAATTAAATTACTTTATTTTTTAAAAAAAGTGATTAATGAAGTGAATTGCAGGAAGCAAAGGTCAAGATATTCAATCTCAGTGTTAAAAATATTTACAAACAAGTCTTTTTTTCAATCTTTCATGTTAATGAATAAAAATCTTTCATTGAAAATTGGAATACTGCCAATAAATTTATTAAATATCGCTGTCAAATTTCGAAAACTCAGCGCAGAATTAATGCACGCCCAGTCACCCATATTTACTCGTCCCTTCCTCTTTATAAATTATTCTTACAAATTTCATTAATACCAATGATAAAAGTATGTAAAATTCTCAATATATTATTATATAATAAATTTAAAAAGTGATGTCATGTTATTTTTTCTCTCTCATAAAAAATAATTTTAAAAATACCTTTTAAATATTACCTAAAAATCCATATCATAATTTATAAATAAGATCAAATGAACCTTTTAACATGTGCCTTATAAATGAGACTAGAAGAAGTATTAGTTAAAAAAATTATATATTTTTATGTTTAAAGTTGAAGCATGGTTTCAAATTTTTCACATACTAACGTTAAATTTGGGAAGTCAGGGAGAAATTTCGAAAGCATTTGCTGCAAAAATTTTATATTCATATTCTATTATTTACTGCTCCTTCCATCTCAAATTATAAACACTTTCAGGAAAAATTCAACGTTTCAAAATATAAGACACGTTAATAAAAATAAGATTTCATTAATAATAGTTTTTTAATATTATCCTTTCCATATATCATCCCTCTTCAATATTTTTTATTAATAGAGAATTAAGTGAAAAGTATTTTTAAAAGTTTATATTTTTATTGCAAAAAAGTAGGTTATAAAGTATATTTAATGAGTTTTATTGATGTGTAAAATTTTATCTAAAAATATTTATAATTTGAGATAGAAAGAGTATTAAATTATAAGAATTTGTAATTGGTCTTTCAAATTTTAAATTGAATGTTTTATATAAAATGATAATTAAATAATTGCATGTCATTGGTAAGTACATTTGGCCATTTGTTAAAATTATCTTGGCTTCCTACCCAAAAAAAAAAAAAATATATATATATATATATATCTTTCCTTGAACCAATCCTATTACGTGTTGATTAATTTCATGCAATCATTTAATTGTAACGATCTTTTAGATAATTTTATATTTATATTCAGAGGTGAAAACTGACACGTGGATGATGATAACTACGAGTCTATGACTGTGAGGAGAGAGAATCACTGGTTGATCACAAGAGGTGTCGTGCCGTGCTGCGTCAGCTAAGATCGTGTTTGCTTTCATTTCACGTAATGTCTGCTCCTCAACCTTTACAGGTGACTTTTACCAATTTCATTAATATTAATATAAAAAATAAAAAATAAAATATAAAAGTATATAAAATTTTAAATATATATTTATATAATAAATTCAAAAAATAATTATTTTTTTATAAAAAAATTTTAAAATATATTATAAATATTATCTAAAAATATATTTAATTTATAAATGAAATAAATAAATATTTTAAAACGTGCTTTATAAATAAAAATGAAAAGAAAATGTTTGAATATCACTTTAAAATGATTATGACTCCTAAAATTCTATTTAAGCTTTGAAATTTTACTGAGAAGTTATTTGAAATTCCATCTTATTCTAAAATTTCATTTGATAATTACTTTTTAATTAATTTTACCCAACGAAATTTAAACACGCTACAGAAATTTACAGCTTTTTGGATAAAAAAAAAACTTCCAGCGATAATACAACTCCTTTTTTTCAAACAACTTTCTAGATCCCGGGGAACAAAATACTAATACTACTTTCTGATCAAATGAATATCCTGCATGCATTTTAATTAATTCCTTGGCATCAATGTGTAGTGAAAGTGATGCTTGCTTGGTCTGCAGGGGTGGATCCTGTGCAAAGAAAATTGTTATTTTATTTTCGTTATGTTTAACATTTATTATTAACTATTTGGAAAAAATAACACTTTAATTAATCATAGGTAGAATCATCTATTAATTAAATAAAAAGTATTTTCATATATAAATTTCCATGTATGTTATTATATACTCATTCTAATCCAAAAATATAAGCAACTTTCAATGATAACTTGCATGTCAATAAAATTCTTATTCTCCCAAAAATACAAAATTTCTTTACCTTTAATCTTGATTTATAACGAGTGAGAAAATGATTACAAATTCACAATAAACACAATAATCAGGTTAATAAATATAATAGATAAAATGAAAAAAAAAATATAGATATCAAGTTGAGTATATTTAAAACCAAGGTCAGTAGAGAAAAAATGACATTTTAGACTGAAGTGAGTATATGATTGTATTGGTTTGATGGGAAAAAATAAAAGAGCTGAAAGCGGAATGGAATGAAATGGTGAAGACTTGGGTCTTTTATTTTGGACATTCCAGTTTTTTTTTAAAAAAAATATTTGGTCTTTCCAATGACCCAATCTATTTGATGGATTTCAAAATGGGCCATGGATTTGACAGCAAAGCCCATCTCAATTGGATCATTCTCGGCTGATTGGGTCCTTGGCATTCTGACTGCCAGGCCCTTATTAGAGCAAACCCAGAAGGAAGGGAAACCAATAAAAAGAAGAAGAAATCAACGCGAGACTTTGAGAGCCGTACAATATTTCCCTCAAGAGACATTCTATAAAATTCGAACCATATAGTGAAACTGAGACCTAAATCTTTGAAATAAATTAGTCGCATTAGAAAATCACTAAAACCACATGAAATCAAACACACTTTAGAGTTGTTGGATTAACTGCTTTAACAATGCTCATCCAGACTTCATATGATGCACGACACTTATGGTTTAGTTGAGATTAAGTTTATATGCACTTACTCACTTAACTTGCGGAATAAATTATCTTTTTATTTTTTTTATTGATCTCGACAATTTTAATAATTGTGACGCTTCAACACTTGTTTTAAACATGGTATCCTAAAGATAAGATTCAAAAACTTCCATGAAGATCATAAGACGCTGATGCCTTTATACACATACTACATACGTGCATATTAAGATGTTCATACTTGGAGCATCACAAATATTATGAAAATTTATTTACACAGAAAAGTTGCTATCGAATAATCTGAATCTGGATAATACTTGTGAAGTATGTTCTAAATGTCTAGTATTTTTTTTTCTGTGCTACACATTTACATTAAGTAAAAATTTTATATTTGCAAGTCAAAATGAATCTTTTTTTTTACACCTTCAGTCAAAATGCATCTCAACTCTTGAAACATTCAAACAACAATAGCTAACTATTTAATCATTAAATCTCCACCTCAGGCCCAGATCAATATAATCTCACTATTAGACCATTTAATTAGTTGCATTGAGAGTGTATACGGCAAAAATACATTAGATATTAAAATTTCACTGCTACAAAAAAAAACTACAAAATTATTTATATCAAAATATTTATGAGATAAAACGCTCAAAAATATAAATGTGAAGCAAGTGAAGTGTTTTTAGATACAAACACTCTTACAGACACATACTTATCCGAGCGCTTTTTAAAATAACGTTTTTGTAGATATTAAAAAAATCTTGAAAATTCCACAATAACATTTTTAAATAGAAGCACTCTAGTGAATAATTATGCTTTCTTTTTAATACATGGCCTTAGTAAACCGTGTGAGAGGCAACAATAAGTTTGTGTCAGAGCTACAAGTCTTATACACTCTAAGGATGAATCAACAAAAATCTTGGCATCCAAACTATCATCGGTTGCTTGTCAAATGAGCCAATCCGCATATTTATTTACTTTCCTAAAGACCTACGATCAACCAAAAAAGTTACTTTTCAGTATTTGATCTTGTTGACAATAACAATGAAAGGGTAGTTATAGGTGAAGTCTCGCTGAATAAGCGTAAGGGCTTTCAATGAATCTGAATAGATATTAATTTTGATAAATTTATTATCCCAACAAAAGGTGAGAGTTTCTAAGATATCCAAAAACTTAGAAACAATGCTAAGATAGTAACCAAGGCATTTGGAAAAATCTTTTATCCAATCATTTTGGTCATCTCATATGAATCTCCCTACAAGAGGTAGCTCCGTTGACATCAATTGAGCTGTCAACATCAAATCTAAACCAATCAAGATTAGGTGAGCACCATTTTACTCGAAACCTTTCATATTTCAAAAACATTTGATTGAGTCTTAATTAAAAATTGAGATCATTAATATTATTTTCGGTATAAGTAAAGGCAATATCACTAACCAGAGAGCCTTCATTTTAAAAGATGATTTTGCAACTTTCCTTCTAGATATTTCAGCAAACATTTGCAAGTCTCTTTCAGAAAGTTTTTCTTAGAACTTAGGACTCTTACATCATTTTTAGCATTTTTAAAAAATCCAGTTCCACAAGAAAAAAGCAAAGAAAGTATTAAGTTTAAAATGTTCGAGCTTGACCAATTTTATGCA